TTATATTTAAGATTGCCAATTCAAATTATTGTTGTTTAGTTTTTCGTCAAGTCGGACTGCTGCCAAGGTTATAAATTATATAATTCAGCAGATGTATAAACAATTTTGGAAGATCTTCAGATATATAAAAAATAAAGAAGTTTGGTTTAACAAATTTAAGGTATAATTAATTTTTTTAGTTATTGTTATTTAAATGAATTTTTCATTATAATTATCTAACTATTCATTTTAATATCATACAATTTTGCAGGAAAAATGTGTGTGGGACCCATTGAACGAGAAGATGATAAAAAAATTATTATGGCAGAACCTCAAGACGACTTTCTAACATAATGCGGCGAGTTAGAGAGCGTTAGGAACTTCAGGGTATTCGTCCCAATTGGATAGGGAAAGAGATTTTTGAGGAACTTCTTAAATATTGGGAGTCACCCGAATTTCGGGCTAAATCTGAAAATTTTAAGAAGATGAGGGCATCTGAAAAATGGGGCCGCGTTAATGCAGTTAGAAGTATAAGTACCACAGAGCATGTTCGATGCATGGTAAATATTATCACTTTTTAAATTTATATTTTGATTCATAATATATTTTTTAAGTAATGTTAATTTTACTATTTAGACCAAGAATTTGGGGAGACCTCCGTTGATGATTGAGTTGGTTAAAAAGACTCGAACAAAGAAAATCGGAGATTTTGTTGACGAACGCACTCTAAAGGCTTTCGTAAGTTATTTAATTTAAGTTGTTGTTTAATTTTTTTTATTTAATGACAATTTTGTGTCGTGATTATCACGTGGCAACTGATAAACTGTGACGTGAAAATAATATGGCAATTGTCAAGTCGTGACGTGAAAATCACGTGGCAACTTTTTTAATATAATATAATATAATATAATTTAATTTAATTTATTAAATATTTAACTTAATTTTTTTTATTGAATGTATAGGAGAATTATCAGACATTGCTCGCAAATTTTCTGATTCATAATCCTCAATATACTCTAGGAGAGGGAGAGTCGCTTCATCCAGATGTGGATTTATATATTTGGGATCAAGTCATTGGTGGAAAAGGCCCTAACGGTTGCTTTTTTGGTGGTGGAAATTTGGCGGGCTCCTTGAGAAGTGGGGATAGAACTCTATTTCAAAGAGTTAGAGGTGGGGAAGGAGGGTCACGTCAACCAAATTTGACACTGTAACAACTTGAAACGGTAAAACAATTGGCGTTAAATGAGGCGAGACGCGAGTCAGCACAATGTGAGGCGGCAATGAAAGCCCAAATGGAGGCCCAAATAGAGACAATGAGACAAGATCAACAACGACAAATAGAGGTCATTGCGAAGAGGCAGGCTGATATGGAGCAACAAATGCGATAATTTATGCAAGGGTTTGGTGGAAATCAAAACTTTCGTGGTCAAGAGCCGAAAGATGACGAAAGCGAGGATGATTTTGACATTGACAATTATACCAACTAAGATGACCGTAAACTTAAATTTTTTTTATTTATTCACGTTTAAATTTGTGTATCATACTAATTAATTAGTTCTTAAATTTATAATTTTAGTTTATTAATTTTATCATATTAAATTTAATAAATTGAATTTATTATATATTGAATTTATTAAATATTGAATTTATTATATATTGAATTTATTATATGTTAAAGTTATTAACTTAATTTATTATATTGAATTTATTAATTAATATTATTAATTTAATTATTTATATAAAGAAAAACAAATCTAGTTATTAAATTTAAAAAAAAAACCATTAGCGACGTGAATTTCACGTCACAAGTTGTGACGTGAAAATCAGATTTAGTGACGTGAAAATCACGTGGCAAATAAAGTAATTTTTACACTGTCCCACCTGCTTTTCCTGCAAAAGTGGGCATTCCTATAAAATATGTTGCGACGTAATTTTCACGTCACAACTTTGTGACATGAAAATCACCTCGCAAAAAATTTTCCACCCTCTCCCCAGCCACGTGATCCTTCACGTCGCTAATAATTGACTCTGACATGAATTTTTAAGTTGTGACGTGAAATTCACGTCGCAAATGAGAGTTTTTTTGTAGTGTTTGGACTTAAGACATCTTGAAGTTCTATTATACGTTGTTAAAAAAATTTCTTTATTAACCTCTTTAGTAATAATTAAAAAAAATCTAAATTATGTATTAAATCAAATTGTAAAATTTAAAAATTGGCGGGCCGGCCCGCCAACTCGTTAATAAACGGGGCGGACTTGAATTTTGAGCTCGGACCCCTATATTGGCCTCCTCAACCTCACCCCATTTTTAGATGAATTTAAACGGGACAGACTTAAATGAGACGGACCACCCACCTTACCACCCCTAATATTGGCATGACCCTATAAAAATTTAACATCATTATGGTTAATGTGTCGTTTAGCGGACCAATGACTTTTTGCCTACTATATTCAATTGCACTTTTGACCAACTATTATCTGATATAACTGATTGATATAAATGATTTTATTTTTTATTAATAAACTTAATACATTCTTTTGTATTTTAGATTTCACTTTAATCTCTTATTTAATAAAGATTTATAATAAATTCCTCGAATCACATTTCGTTATTTAAGTTTAAATCAAAACTATTTTAAATTATTAACCATTATTTATCTACATTTTATTTTTATCTTAATCCTATTCTTATTCTTATCGTAATATTATATTATTTTATCTTAATCTTATCTTAATTTTAATTTTATCTTTAATTTTATCTTTATATATATATATATATATATATATATATATATATATATATATATATATATATATATATATATATATATATATATATATATATATATATATATATATATATATATATATATATATATATATATATATATATATATATATATATAAATTCAAAGTGGTAGAGTTGTCCCAACTCTGACCATGTTTTATCATGATAACAATTCTTAACAAAAACATAAATCTATAATTACAAATTTGATCCATATTAAAAATATAATAAAACTAATAAATATTATAATAATAATAATAATAAAATAATAATATATTCAATGACGACCATTAATAATAATAATAAAAATAATATATATTAATATAATATTTAACTAATAATAATATAATATTCAACCACCACTACTAATAATAATATAAATAATAGATTACAATATAATATTCAATTAATAATAATAATAATAATAATAATAATAATAATAATAATAATAATAATAATAATAATAATAATAATAATAATAATAAGCTATCACGATTAAAAATAAAAATATTTATAAAAATTATAATTTATTTATATATTATACAATAGTAGGAAATGAAAAAATTTGAATACAATTTTAATATATATTAATCATTAAAAAACTTTATAAATAAATATTAATATATTTTATATAAATAATTTTTAATAAATAAAAAATTAAAAAAAATCTAAATACAATTTTAATATATATTCATCATTTCTAAAATATAAGTTATAAACTCTCTCTCTCCTAAATTTTAGATTTAAATTTAAATAATAATTTAACTTTTTGAGTCGCAAATCTATAAATTTAACATATAGAATTTCTACGATCCATAAATTTTAACATTTAGTGTGATAATTCTAATTGTATAATAATTTCTTTTTAAAAATATATATTTGATAATTTAATATATTAATACAATTGTAAATTATAATTTAATAGATATTTTATTAACTTACAATATAATTATGTTAATTAATAATCTAATTTGGTTTTCATACTATAACTTCTTCTCATCCATGGTATTGTCATTCAATTGACACTTAGGATATTACTGTCGTATCTTAAATTTGTTCGCTTTAGTGTTATAGTCGAAATTATTTTTAAACTTGAGTTCTACAAAATTCTTTGGTTTATTTACACTAATATTTTAGGGTTTTGTAAATATTCGTTTTCAAATTAATTTAATAACATAATAATTTATTGCAAATTATTTATATTTTTAAATATCAAATAATTGCTCATCTGCATATACTTTTAATTGACTATTTATTTTAAATAAATAAACATAACACAATTATTGGTAAGGAAACATAGTTTGGAACTGTTTATTTATTACTAACTTTATTTTTATTTTTAATTATTTTCAAAATCATAAAAATCATGTTTTTTCATTATTAAATTATTATTTTCGTATTTTTTAATTAGTGAAATTTCAAAAAATAGATTTTTTTTTACATTTTTTCAATTTTTATTTTAAAAATAACCAAGAAATTATAAAATAAAAAATATTTGAAAAGATTTTGTTCAACTTTAAAAATGTTGTAGTTTTAGGATAGTTTTTATTTTTAAAGAAGAAATCAATATAATTGATTAAATATGTCAAGAATTGAAATCAAATTAAATTTGGTTTTAATTTTAATTATATTAGTTAATTATTTGATTATTACCTTTTCTTATTTAACCTAATAGAGTCCAAATTTTACATCGGGAGAGGCCAATTCCATACAAAAAAATCCACAACGTACATATTTCACACACACTCCAAATTTCTCTTCAAATTATTTCCAAAATCACACACAAAAAAACCTTGTTTTTCTAAAGTCAAACCCTTATTTTATTATTTTTTTTAATCTTATTTTATAGATTATCTCCACCATTCACACTTACCCAATTTCTAATATTCACTCATACACACGAAGAACCCTCTTTTTGTCAAAAACCAAATCTCACAAATTCTCTTTTCTTTCTCACGTAAATTATCAATTTCAATCAAAATGCAAAAGCCATGAACAACAACTTTCAACCGTCACCGTCAACCTTACCTCAAACTTGTTTTATCCTCTAACAAACCAAAACCAATTTCTCACTAACCTCTAACATTTAACCAGTAATCAAAATATCACATTCAATCCACCAAAACTCATATACCAATTCCATACAAATTCATCTTCCTTCGAACTTCCGACAACGATTCCGCACGACCACGTCGGAGCCACGACATCTCGAGTCACTGTATCTACCTTTGTGTCACATACGCGGTCGTCGTAGGTATGTTGCCCATGTTTGAATCATAGATCTTGGAGGTGTTATTTGTCTTTGCAGATTTTGAGGCAAGATTGATGGAAGATGGAAAAGGGAGGTTTTTTTTAGAAGAAAAAGATTAAAGATGTAGAGGCAGCAAAGAGAGATGATTCGCATAAGAATGAAGAGGATTTTCTTTTCTGTTTTTCTAATCCATATATGTTGTGTTATTTTTTTCTCTTTCCTTAAAAAAATCCTCTGCCACTTGTCAATCATCCACTGGTCGACTGGTATACATTGTGAAAAGTCAAATACAAAACTCTCCTCACCTATGAAAGATGTTATGGTGCTGTTGGTTCGCTAGGCTGATTTGGAGGATCAAACAGGGTAGCACCCCCTGTTTCCAAGTAAGTAATCTTGTATATTTTTATAACTTATTTGATACGTTTAATTAGAGATTTTGTGTGATATTGGCCTGTGAGACCTAATTTTTATCTTTTGATTACAATAATCTATTACTATTTGCTGCGTAACTCAATCCTACACCCTCTGTCTTTTTAGATTTGAATTCAATATCTGAATTCAGGCCTTTCCTATTTACACACTTTTATTTTACTAGTTTAATATAAAACACACTCCCTCACGTTTTTATTATTTCAAGTATTTCTTTTTTATATTTCTTATTTTAATTTTTTTATGTACTTAATGCTATTTAACATTATTTTATGTTCATAATATTATATCATTTATTATTATCACATAAATACTATTTCTTTTTTCAAATTCATAAAAAATATTTATTATCTTGATTTGCATTAAAAAATGATTTTTTAGCATACATTAATAAGATATTTTTGCAATTAATATAAAAAAAACATTTAACCAAACATCAAATTGTTTTCCGCATATTAGATTAACCCAAATATTTTTCCAATATAGATTAAGTTAATATTTTACATCAAAATATTAAAACTCGCGCGATTCACCAAATTACTACATCTGCAAGAGATACGTGGCCAATATTTGCCCACGTGACAAGGAGACTGTATCAGGCTCCTCCCGCTCTACGTCTCAAAACAAATAACCAACATCAAAAATATTTTTTAACTAACATAATCAAACTATAAGATATTTTCGAAAAAGGATTAAGGAGAATAATTTTCAAAACTAATTGCGAACTGCGTCTACGATCACTCAATTTACAACCCAGACAAAGTTCAAGCATAGTTCGAATGCAATTCTACGCAATCTTATAAAAAACACCAACCCACAGCGAACTACAAAATGGGACTATGATTCCTCCTAAGAGGATACGTAGACATACGATTAAAATCGTGGAGAGTCCCCCTAACTAAAATTAAAACCCTTTTCCATAATTAATAATAAAAACCCTATTTCATATAAACGCGCTTCTAAACCTAGTATCCTTGTGAATAAGATAGATGAGGGGTGCCTAACACCTCCCCCTCGTCTAGAACGGAGTCTAAATCTAGAATCTCTAAACTTTAGGGTTATTCTTTTATACTACCTTCCTTTAGGATAAAAATGAAGGGTGGCGACTCTGATTTAAAAACCAGTTGCAACAATTTCCACGCCTCAACCCATGTGATTAAAAATTATAGACCCTAGTGAGAGAGAGAGAGTCGATGCTAAAGTAGACCTTTACGCGAGGGAATGCTCAGCTGCAGGATTGGCAACAAGTTGACCTCCTGTTGGATCCATCATGTTCAGGGTAGACTCATCGAGGCCTGATAGAAGGCAAAGAAGAATAATTAGGGGAACCTCCCAACCAAAAAATCGAATGAAGAGTAGTCGAACCAATAATTTGTAAAATTCTACAAAAAATATTATAGTGTTAATCTTTTTCTTTTTGTAATTGCAACACATATTTATTAAGTCATCTACGCAATATCTTATAATGTTATTATTTTTTATTTGACTTTATATATTAAGTCATTTACGCAATATCTTTTAATTTCAAAACATATTTTTATTATTTTGCAAACATAATCTAGATTATGACATACAAGATAATTTTATATGCAAATAAAAAATTTAATATCAACTATTATAAAAAAAAATGTAGTTTTATTTCTAATATACTTGTGTGAAGCACGGGTCGATGATTTAGTAATATATAATTAAAACAATATTCTTCTCTCTTCTCTAAACCCTAGCCAATAGCCTTTTTCTCTTCTCGCTTTCTCTTTCTCTTGCTCAAACTCCCCATATCTAGAATTTTGCACGACAACAAAAACAAGTTCCTCATAAATCTATAATTTTGCAAGAAGTTCAAATAAAAGATCTTGTTTTCAAAGTTTCAATTTTTATGGAGTTTTCTTCTGATTTAGCAAATTGGTCTTGTAAATCTGAAATTTTGTTTTGCACTTGTTAGTATAAAGGCAATGTTTCATTGTTTACTTTTATATTTTGCAAGAAGAAAATATAATTTTCATAAAGATTTATGTTCAAATGATATACACTTGCTATTATCAAGGGATGTACATTCACTATAGTAAAAAATCACTGGAGTCACACATTCAAGCATTATTAGCCTCCTGATTATGATCAAACAATTTTGATTTAAAAGCAACAACATCAGTTACAGTAAGCACATAGAAGTACCAGAAAAATATATCCCTGAAGCTCACCTAATACACAGATCAGGGTGTCTGCTTTGATACCAATTGAAATTATGGAACTTGCAATACATGTTAATACCGATGCTTCAGCATCAGAACACGATGTCAAGACAAATGTTATAACATTTAAAAACTTACAAAACATATTTATCAAACTATAAATGGCGTAGAATTTTAAATTCCAGAATGATAAAAACATAGTCAATTGTTAACCCAGTTCTGTGCAACATCACCTACATCTGGGGGATACCAAGTCAGGAAGGAATTCCACTACAATAGTATTAGTTCAAAGCCTAAACAGTCCCAGTTTATAACTTCTCTCCTAATCACTATCTTGTGCAACTTCTACATAGAAATCACCATCTAGATATGAGAAATTCCATCTCACTTCCAATCACCTCAGTGATAACAACAATCACAAACCTTGTGACTAAAAACAATGACCAAAACAGAATAATATACTTCCAACATAATACTTAGTCTTGCTTCAAAGCTTCAACTAAGAACAATACTCAACATATTTTCTGGTGGAGCCATGATCTTAACCATTATGGACGGTGACGACCTTCCGCACCCTGTAAACGCGGACATAGTTAAAAGATACTACGCATGAAAAAGACCGACTAGGTTGACTGGATTAGGAAAAAATAACGGCATCCCGGTGAACCAAAAGGGTTCGGGTAAAAATTAGGGATATACATATGAGAAAAAAATCTGTACACCCGACAAGTCAAAAACCTGAAAAGGCGGCTTGGGAAAAAAAGAGTATCCCGATGGACTGAAAACCCGAAAAGGCGGTCCAGGCAAAAGTTTGGGATTTAAAGCGTATAACTATGTCTCGTTGGATCACCTTACAGCCAATCTTCGGTATCAACTGTCAAGCTCAAGTGGTACTAATCAATCCAGTCAGCTTCGGGCAAGCATCAAAGAGATGAGACGCTCAAAGGCATAAAGGCAATAGCAGAATGGGAACCCAACATGATTATTTTACATAGTTGTTTTCTTTGTATGCCCTTTTGTAATGTTTTATTCTTACAACGGAATTCGGTTACTAGGATGTTCGTCTTCTTGTACAAAAACACTTATTCAAGTTAATACAAAGTTATCCCTTTGAAAGTACAAAACTATTTGTTTTTATTTTTCTGTTTTGTTTACGAAAACGTCAAGTGATTATTTTTGAACATATGCTTTTGAATGCGATTACTGCTTACAAATATACGCATAAAAAAAAGAAAGACAGTTACTAATGGCTTTAAGAAAAAGGACAATATCTAAGGGCCATCGACAAAATCCCCGCAGATATTTCCTCCAGCAGATACCTTCTTTGGCAGGTACAGAGGTAGAGACATCCTACTACAAGGTCACTGCCATATTATCAGTATACAACTTAATGGTGTCAGGTGTTCTCATATCCCCGGCAGATCCAAAATCTCAAATTACTGCTCCAGAAATTCCCCAGTGAAGTCATCAAGCTTCTCAGGATTCCCCAGCAGGATTTCACAAAGTCTCAAAACATTACACGGATTTTTCCTTCCCCAACATAGTTTATTTCTCTAACAATGGAAGTTCATATCCCAGCGTTTCAACTTCAACAAATTTGAAGACTTACATTCTTTATTCCCCAACAACAACCAGGGATTCATTTTCCCTAGTTCAACAATACAACAGTGGAACAACTGACACATTCATACATTGCACTCATACATCATTTTACAAATATCATGGCATATGCAGCACAAATGCATATATCACAATCTCATGTATTTTGAGAGCATCATGCAATTCATACATCATAACATCGCATGAAACTGACTTTAACTTTTAAGGTTGAATTCACAGACAGACGAATACTATTAATTTATACAGCAGGTCAAAGATTAATGCCCGAAACCAAAAGGGGAAACTATCTATACGACCAAGTGGTCTGAACTCCCGAAACAAGACGGGTTTACCAACAAATACATCAGGCCACAGATTAATGCCCGAAACCAGACGGGGAAGCTATTTATGTGACCAACATTGCCAAGTCCCAGATTAATACATGTAACAAGCCAAGACAACTATATGTGGACGACTAATTTTATATTAATACTTGAAACCAGACAGGAAAACTATCTACATGAGAAGATCGAAGATTAATACCCGAAACCAGACGGGAAAACTATCTTCCTCTTTCTAAGGTAATACCTGTAACAAGCTAGGATAACTATCTGTGGACGGCCGATTATAGATTAATACCTGTAACAAGCCAGGAAAACTATCTACATGAGAAGATTGAAGATTAATACCCGAAACCAAACGGGAAAACTATCTTTCTTTCTAATGTTAGAGATTAATACCTGAAACTAGCCGGGACAACTATCTCAACGACCAATAAAAACAAGTCCCGAATTAATACCTGAAACAAGACATGACAACTATCTGTGGACGACTAATTTGTAGATTAATACTTGAAACCAGACAGGAAAACTATCTACATGACCGAATGAAGCAATCTTACACAGGTTCCTTCTCATTATCTATATGCAGTCTAACACGGACTCATCCTGAAGCAATCTTACACGGGTTCCTTCTCATCATCCAGATGCAGTCTAACACGGACTCATCCTGTAGCAATCTTACACGAGTTCCTTC